CCTTCCTGGGTCAGGTGACATTGCTCACTCAGCAAGGCGACTTCAAGCAGACGCTCCAACTGAGGGGCAAAGGTGATCACCGTGACGACGACCTCCCTGGAACCATCACTGTCGCCATAGTAACCACCCCGTCGCTCACCAACTTCTAAGCCGTCCATCCAGGGTTGATCCAGCTGCCAAATGACCAGTTTACCACAAGATATTTGTTCTCCTGTAACAGTAAATATAGAAGATCATCAGAGGAGGTGATGAAAAATACAAAAACAAGAAGGAACGTGTTCCTCTTGCATTGTTTTATCTTGATGTACGTAATGTTAAATGTCTGTTTACAGAATGAGTTACAGTGTTGGTTGTAGCTGAATATCCTGTAAACATGTCTGAGAGCGAAACTGCAAACAATCTCTAGCTGTCTTATAAACAGTTCTTTAATTGACCTTTTCCTCTGATTGGATCTTTTATGTAAACTTTGTATTTCAGGTAACTAAGCAGGTTTTTCATACCTAGCTTTAGTTTAGTTTTAGTTAAGTAAAAACCTTTGCTTCATAATTCCAGCTGCTATCAGTTTAGACCAGCTCATCTTGTAATATACATCAAAGAAAACTGATTGAAATCACATTTCTGTTTAGTCTCAAACATTTCTTGCCTACAAGAGGAAAAGGTCCAGATTCAGGACTTAAAATTTAAACCGTTATACGCGTACAAATGTGGAGTGTGTGCGACCTGTTTGACGTCTTCTGTACTTTATATGTTTCCAAACAAGACACAACAAAATATATTTTACAGCAGATATTGCAAAGGTGTACATTCAATGTACTTGTGCTTAAAAGCTTTCAAGGTGTTACATTGGAAATAGTTTTTACCTGTTTCAGTATTACGTTGAATCTCTGACAAGTTAGTTTTTTCTACTTTTGTTACTTCAGTTCAGTTGAACGTTGATCTTGAGACAACTCGGTTTGCTTTTATTCTGTAGCGATGCAAATAAACCGCACGTGGAGTGAAGCTGCTTGATTCAATTTGTCGTTCGTGAGTTTGAGTTAGTATTTTTATTGATTTGGTTTTTAAAAAATGAACCACAACCTGCAACAGCATTGATTCACAACATCACTGAATTTACCTGAATTTGAACTATTCACCTGAACAGTTTATGATAGTGTATATTGTGTTACTGTAATGTTTGACCATAAAAACAGGTAGACATCACCTATTCTGTGTTATCATGTTAAGTTCAGGAGATTAACTAAAAATACATCATTCTGTTAAGGTGGAAAGTAAAATGGCTGCTGTGGCTCCCTTTTTGTTGGGGCCCCAAACTGTCGATTAAACTACCAACAAGAAGTTCAAATAAGCTCAACCATAAAGATCTACAGCAGTAAAATGCAACATCCACATTAATGTAGCAGAAATTTTAATCCAAAACCATCAAATATAAAAGTAAAACACTGACAGGGACCATCGTACTGCACAATGAGCAATTTAGTTTTTATACTTTAAGTACATTTTCCTGATAACACATTTGAATAATTTCTTAAGTTAATAAGTTTTACCATTGATGTTATAGGTGTAGATTCAATTTTGACTTGTGTTTAAATGCTTTCCCAAAGGTGTCACATTGTAAAGACTCTGTATTGACAAAGTTATGGTTGAGTATGAGTTTTCAATACTGTGATTTCTGCTTTTCTGACGTCTTTTCTTTGTTTTTTTTCTGTATTTCCAGTTAATTTGTAGTTGTATCATTACTACAGCTCCCACCAGAGGTCAGTGATGTTTAACAGAAGCCTGGAGGGAAACTTTCCAAACTGTTATAACATCTCTCTATTCTACAGCACATTTTCAGTTAATATATTTACAGATACAGAGTTAACTTAACAAACCTATCTAAATACTATGACTGTGACAATTATAATCACATTAATATAGGCGTATTCCCCAGGTATTTATTCATTCAGGGGTCAGGTGCACTTAATGGAGCTTAAAGCTGCAGTAGGTAACTTTTATATAAATAACTGTTGGTGATATTTTTCTGAAACTTTCACTATATCCTGACAGTAATCAGAGACACATAATCTGTGTTCCTCTGGCTCCTCATTGTGCTCATAATGACATTTCCACTGACTGAAAACAACCAATCAGAGCTGAGAAAGATATTTAGGCTAATTGTCGCTTGTAGACAGGTGATTGTTAAGTCTCCCGAAGCGTTGACTACCTGGAAATAAGATAAGATATAAGATATTCCTTTATTCATCCCGCTTAGGAGAAATTCAGGTTGACAC